TATAGAAGAGAGATTAAGGATATTGGGAGTGCTGGGGAATGAAGGACAAAGGGTAGACTGCAGTTTTAAATCAGGTCTCACTGGGATGATGTCTGGACAGATTTAAGAGATGAGAGAATATAATGAATGTGTGTTGCCCTGCAAATATAGTTTTGGTTTGCATTCACTTCACAGGAAAGGGGTAAAGTGGGTTGTGCTTGACTTCTGCCCTAAATGAGCTTCGTGATGAACTAACATCTTGGAAATGATAGAAAAACGAAGACAGCAAATACAAGACAGTAATTTTGCTCTATACTCTTTGTTCCTGTTTTGATCTTTTGTCATTATGGGAAAAACAGGTTAATGATTAGCTGTTATTTTCCTCCTGTGCTCCACATTTGCTCCTCAGGAAACAGTTACACAGGAATCTGGATTAAGCAGTGAAATGATGAAATGGGTTTAGAGTAAACAACCGAGAGTGGTGGGGTCAGAGAATAGGAAAAGGTAAACTTACAGAAAGGGATAATGATTAGGAAGAAAGGCTTGCAGTATCTCTATTTACCTTCCCTGCTGACAGTTCTGTTTCCAACAGCTTACTAGCTCTCTGCCTCTCAGGTATGGTAACAGCACAAGGAACTATGCTGTTCGGGTTGGGGATTATCATACTCTGGTGCCAGAAGAATTTGAAGAAGAAATTGGAGTTCAGCAGATTGTGATTCATCGGGAGTATCGACCTGACAGCAGTGACTATGACATCGCCCTGGTTCGATTAGAAGGACCAGAAGAGCAGTGTGTTAGATTTAGCAGCCACGTTTTGCCGGCCTGTTTGCCACTCCGTAGAGAGACGCCACAGAAAACCGCCTCCAATTGTTACATAACAGGATGGGGAGACACAGGTAATGTAGATAATACAAAGGACAGGTGAGACCTGGGCACGTTCTTGTGTCTGGGATTATCAATACTTTTGGGTGTACAATGGGAATGAAAATCTTAAATGGGTTCAGGCTTAGTTGTTTGGAAATTCTGCCAAGTGTGTGATGCATGCATGTAATTTGGATTCATATCCTGAGGGTACTGTTGGTTAGTTATTAGCACAAATTGACAGAACTCAATTGCCTAATGGGGTAGAGAATCCTGTACTTTCAGTTCCACAGACTAGTAAGGAGACAGAGGAACGGATTTTTCATTTTTAAGACCCTACTCCAACACTTGGGCCTGGCTGCTATATTTAAAAAAAATTTTTTTTAAGATTTTTGTCAGAAAAAGCACAAGCACGGGGAACAGCAGACAGAGCAGACAAAGGGAGAAGCAGGAGCCTGATGTGGGCTTGATCCCAGGACCCCGGGATCATGACCTGAGCCGAGGGCAGAAGCTTAACTGACTGAGCCACCCAGGTGTCCCAACCGCCCTTTTAAAGACTTTTGTCAGAGTGGCTATATTTTTAAAAGCTTTCCCGGAGGACTCTGATTTAACTACACCAGCAAAGGGCCTTGGTGTTTGATGGCCTTGCTTTCTCTGTAAATGAAGGCCACTATCAAACTCAATTTTATGGAGAATCCCTAAAAATAGAACAGACAAAAGAGAGCCATTATGAAGTGGAGATCCAACCCACTTTTTCCCGTTCATCCCACCCTCCCAACTCCCAAGCTAGAGCAAGATGTTCATCTTATAGTCTTCTCAGGCAAACAATTTTCTGGATTGCCTTGCTATAGAATTAAATCAGTGTACATCAGCTAGTGCTTGTTCAGGATGGTCCTTGAAAAAGATGTAGGTCTCACCTAGACTGGGTGCTTGATTCACAAATGGCTATTGAATAAGAAGTGAGGTTGACTGCTCTCCATTAAAAATGATCAACACTGATCATTGTACTCTTGAAAAGAGCATCAAATAAGTATTTCTACATGTGATAATTACAATGTTTTATTTAGTAAATGTTTGTGTTCATCACACACTGCACAAAATATAGGCTTTATACTTGCATCATTTCACAGCTGCATAAAGACAAAATATCTGCTATAGATATACTGAAAAGGCATATAACTGACCAATCCTGAGATAAACCACCAAGAAAACATTTTCTGGATGATACAATAATCAGATCAGAGTAAATGCCTTCTCTGTACACTATGTGGATCTATGAGGCAAAAAGAGTCTCTGAGAAGGCTTAACTATATCCATTACAACTCATGAGGGAAGGTTCATTTACCTTCCTTTAGACAGAAATTAACAGAAATGACAAAGTCAACTTTACACAGTTTTATTAGGAGTTATTCCAAATGAGTAAATAGGGTGCAAGAAAAACAGTGGAATTTAGATCCAAGAAAAGGCTCGTGGAGATTATCAATTATACATTTTAGCCACTGATCAGTGAGTGGCTTGCCAGTATAGAGTACACAAACCTCAAATGCTCAAACTTAGGCCTGTTTGGTATATAGTAATGTTTTGCTCCATTCTTGTGAAATGCCATGCTTCTATTTAGAGTAGTTCTTGCCACTTTATGTCCTTCTATACCATTTATCACTCATTTAAACTACACTAGATCACAATATGGCTTTTATTTTCAAGATTCTATGTTAACTGTTAAGCGTTTTCCGTAAGGTCTTTAGCTGGCATCTAATTCAGATTATTTGGTCCAACTAGGACGAGCCTATTCAAGAACTCTACAACAAGCAGCCATCCCCCTACTTCCCAAGAGGTTTTGTGAAGAACGTTATAAGGGTCGGTTTACAGGAAGAATGCTCTGTGCTGGGAATCTACATGAACACAAACGTGTTGACAGCTGCCAGGGAGACAGCGGAGGGCCACTCATGTGTGTTCGGGCAGGAGAGAGTTGGGTTGTATATGGGATAACCTCCTGGGGGCATGGCTGTGGAGCCAAGGATTCACCTGGTGTCTATACCAAAGTCTCAGCCTTTGTACCTTGGATAAAAAGTGTCACCAAATTGTAATTCTTCATGGAAACCTGAAGAGAAAATATGTTGGAAAATTTTCAACCTCTACATTAGCACTCAGCCAGAGATGCCAACTGATGGGGATGAGAGCCATGTTTCTGCTTTTGTGTTGTGATTAAATCATGTACACCATTGCTGCTTGAGAAATTTGTGATGTGAACATTCTTTGTTAGATACCTCAGTGTGGTACTAATTATTCTTGATTAGCATTGTTTATTCTCAGCACTCTCCAGAGATTACTGTATATCAACTGTGCAATAAGCCTGTTTTTATTCTTTTGGATTAAGAGTCTATAATTGAATCAATACTCTTTATTGCACTTAAGTGGTATTGTGTAATTAAGCTCACATTTTCTTCAAAAGGCTGAGAAATTTCCACACTGACTCTCTGTAGCCTTTGACAAGTGAGGAAGTCAAGGCCCCAAAAGGTTAAGGAATCCGTTATAAACCTAGACTGGAATAGGATCAGTCACAATACATTCCTGAATAAAGCCTTTGTACCATGCACTATAGCAACACATTCTAGTTACCTAGCGAAATTTGGAATACCTGATAGTAAAGAATGCCTTCAAGTTCTTGGGTTATACAACCTAATTTATCCACCTTATTAACATCCTCTAGCAGTTACTTTCGGCTTGATAAAATTTTTCCTTGGCATCATGCCATTTGCTCTACCGTGACTTAAGAGTGCCATCTATTGCAACTTTCTTATAATGACTAAAACATGTAGATTTTCACTATCCTGTCCCAGCTAATAAAAGACATTATTAAAAATGCTTTCTCTGCTTACGTAGTGGGGGGAAAAAAAAAAGCTCTAAAATATCTTATTTGTTCCAACTGATTTAATTCATACTCCAGCTATGTGCTAGGCACTGCATTAAGTGGCTATGTGCCTGACAATTTACAAAAGGCTGGTAAAATTTTACAGTATCCCTAGCTTTCAAATTGTCAAACAGACTCAGAGGCCAAGGTAAGCCAGTGGGATCTGAACTTCAGAATAGGTGCCCCAGTACTGACAATGTTATTTTCCCCCTCTACTGCTGTCTAGTCATTTATGCCCTTTGGCTATTTTCTCAACCCAATAAGGGACAGCTGCTTACTATGGACTCTTTCAGGACATTCCTGATAGCAAAGCAAAATCTTTGCCCAAACATAAAAGGCATGCCCCTCAGGCCTTAGGTGGTTTAAATAGTTTTTGTATATCCAAGAAATAGATGCATAAAGACAGGTGAAGAGGTCAGTGTGAACTTTAGGATCAGTTAAGCCTCTTCAAAGGCTAAATCCACATGAAGGGGACTTCCCTACTTTCCCTACTCCATCTACTTGCGTCCTTTTTGTAAATCCTGCGCTTTGTAAAAAACTGGTGCTAACATAAAGGTGCTTTATAGTTTACTACTTTACAAAATTGCAATGCTGTATCACTCATAACATTAAAACTTTTCTAAAAGCTCAAGGTTTTTGATAAAGGAAAAACTTTTCAAGCATTTACATCTACAGAGATGACAGAGCTACACAGTGCACACCTGCACAAGGGCTTGAAAAAAACGTGCAATACAGGAGAGAAATTTATCTCTACTGAAACTTCGCACAGGCCACCTTTCTAATTAGACTATAGTGCAGATGCAAACAACATTTATATTGAAATTTTAATAGACCAGAGGTTGGGACACTTTAAAACAGATAGCTAACAGGCAGCCTATACAGTTTGCTCAAACTTGAATAGAATACTTGGTTCATAGTATGTCTTTATTATAGCTCTTTTCTTGTTAAGCGTTAAGTGTGAATTTTAAATGACACAAGTGTTCAGTGCACATTTGTGTGAATAAAGTACATAGTTGTTCATCCTGTATAGTAGCCTTAATCTTTTGTGTGGTATGAAATGACTGTGCTGTCCCTTAGGGGTACCCGCCTTTAATGCTGTTTCCCTCCAAATACTGTAGTACCTTACACCAATAATCATTGATACTACTTCCATACCAGCTCTTCCCAGAAGCTGTAGTCTGTTGCTTATTATTTGTCGTAACAAATACCTTTCCACTTCCTTTTTAGTCAGAGAACACGGACTCTCCAGATGAATCAAGCATTTTATTTAATTACAGCAAGCAAGGAAGTGCTCACTTATTCTCTACTTAAACGCCAGTTAGGCTAAAACATTCAGACCTATATTGAAAACACCACGCTGATAAGTTTCCAGAACATTATTTGCCACTCAATACCCAAGCTGTTGAGATTTAAGATCCCCTTTTGGCAGTGCACCACAGGATTCTAAACAAACAGGACTTCACCTTAATTTCTTGATTATCTGCAAGAGAAGAAAACCACCTTTATAAAACTCTGATCTGTGTACTTACATCAGTGTTGAGATCTTAGCCATCTATTTGTTACTTTCTATTTAGCTATTAACCTCTTTCAAATTACAAAGTAACAGCAAAAAGGGGCCAATTCTGGCCTTCCGGTTCCTTAGCACGCAGGGTTTCAGAACTACTAAGGGTTTCACTAACTACGAAATACGAATAAAGAGGAACCTACCATGTCATGTTTCCTATCATCCACCGCAACAGTTAGTTCAGCCTCCTGGAAACATTTGAACGATAGTTAAATGTGTGCCCAACAACCCAGCACCCTCCAGGTTTTCAAAAGTGAAGAATGTTACTTGTGCAAGTCAGAATCTGATACCAATTAAATGGTGACAGCTTTGCCAATAAACAAGAATATGCTCTTCCATGGCTAGGAAGGGAGACTGCCACAGCTGACAGGTCCCAAAGATACATGGAGATTCACAATCCCAGAACAGACGAGTATGCACAACTACAGATACTACTCACCTTCCGGATCTAAATGGGGGAGGATCAGGATGCGGTGTTACTATTTGACAGCGGCGGAGTAGACTCAAGACGGCTACTTGACACCGACAGCAGTTTCGCGACCTTTGCCGGAGGGCCGCGACCCGTGCGCGCTCGGCTTCAGGCTCGCCACCCAGGGCTGCACGTGGCCGCCTCGGGACCTCATGAACACCTAGGGCCCCTCAGGTTTTCGAACCAAGAGGTCTTCAAAGCGGACGTGGACCTGCCGCTACAAGTCTCTTGAAACTCCTGCATTTTAACTAAGCCAAAAAGTTCTGCCCCAATTACCACCTTAGCGCACAAAACGCGACACCGTACCTTACTTAACCTCGGAGCCTAAACCCGACGCTTCCCGGATGTAAAAGGCCGCGTCCCTCGGCGCACGCTCTCTTATAGGGCTGGTGACGCTATTCCGGGGAAGCGCCGCGAGGGGCGGGGCCCACGCGATTTTTCCTTCGCGCTGCCCTTCACGGCCCCTCCACAGTTCCACCCCTTCCCGATGGCCCCTCCCACCTCTCAGAGTTTGCTCCACCTCCCCCGCCCATCCTGGGGACGGGGCGGCTCATCAGCCCTTTGATTCCGGCGCACGCGCCTACAGGGGAGGCAGAAAGTTCTCGCGATACTAGGGAATCCTGATGCTCGTGGTGTCCGGCCGACTGGGAAGGTGAAGTTTTGTTTCCTGGTTGCTTTAGGGTAGTTAACTTTTGAGGTTGCCATAGTTACCGAAACACCAACTTGTATAGTTCTCCGCTTCTAAACCTTTAGGTAGGTTAATATATATGGAGCTAGCTGATTTTTTGTCTGTTAATGAACTATCCGGGACTTATGTCTTCCGCTGGAATTGCTGTTGCTGAAGCTCAGGTGTCAGTGATCTGCAGTCATTTAAAAAAGTTTGTTTTTTTTTTTTTTTTTTTTTCTGGTCTGATCTCTTAGTATTTACACTCATTACTGAAAGCCTCGCCGAAAGATTCTGTAAACACAAGTTTAGAAAAAGCAAAGGACGTTAGCCGGAAGAGCATACGGGAGACCCATTCACGTGTGTTGCTGATCGTTGCCCGCGCTGCACTGACCCAGTGTTGTTTTTCCCTCTCTGGCCGCAGCCGGGCTCCGCTGGCTCTTGAACGTGGGCGCCTGGGTCTTAACCTCCCTGCTGTACCTTCGAGGGTTTAATTAAAGAAATAGTAGAGCTACCCCTTGTAAAGTGGAATTAAAAATGTTTAGGAATACTTTTAGTCCTAGACATGCGCTTACTAACTGCCATTACATTTATTTCCTATTTTCCCTTGTCCTCTCATATGAAGCAAAAGGGAGGTTTGAGGCGACGTTTTTACTTAGTAGTGGACCATTTGGGAAGGTATGTCGCCGCAGTTGCTGTCAGGAAAAATGGTATCAAGAGGCCTGGTGAATAAAGTGCCACAGTAGAGATCTACACAATCTTCATGAAATCCCTACATACTGTTCTGGGGGAAATAATTTAATTAGTAAGAGCAAAAATTGCTGTTACGGTTAGCGTCGGAATGACAAGTTTATAGGAAATAAATTTTAACTTGAAAGAACTAAAGTTTCTGAGGCTCACCTCTCACCTTTTCTTCATCTTATTCCATCTCACTAATGAACGGAAGATACTATTCAATAACAAAGTTTAAATACCAAATCACAGTGGAGAGTTTTGCCAAATTAGATTTCACTTAGAATCTCTAACCATCTGTATTACTTTGCAAAGGCTGTCCTAACAAAATGCCACAGATTGGGTGGCTTCAACAACAGAAATTTATTTTTTCACAATTCTGGACACAAACTCTGAGATCAAGGTGTCCACAGGTTTGTTTTTAGACCTTCTGGGGCCTGTAGATGGCTCTCTCCTCCCTGTAGCTTCACATCCTTTACCCTCTAGCTTCTGTATCCCAATCTCTTCTTAAAAGAACACAGTCATTTTAGATGAGGGCCTTGCTAATGACCTCATTTAACCTTAATTGCCACTTTAAAGATCTTGTCTCCAAATACTGTCTTATTCTGAGGTATTGGCAGTTAGGACTTCAACATGGGGATGCATATATCTTTTCTGATTTAGTGTTTTTGTTTTCTTCAGATAAATACCCAGAAGTGGAATTGCTGGATCATATGTAATTCTATTTTTAATTTTTTGAGGAACCTCCATAGTGAGGAACCTCCATACTTTTCCAAGCGGCTGGATGCATTTGCATTCTCATCAGCAGAAAACAGGGTTTTCTTTTCTCCACATCCTCGCTAACACTTGTTATTTCTTGTTTTTTGTTTTTTTAATACTAGCCATTCTGATTGGGGTGAGATGATATCTCATTGTGATTTTGATTTACATTTCTCTGATTATTAGTGATGTTGAGGATCTTTTCATGTGTCTGTTGGCCATCTTTATGTCTTCATTGGAAAAATGTCTAGGGGCTCCTAGGTGGCTCAGTCGGTTAAGAGTCTGCTTTTGCTCAGGTCATGATTTCGGGGTCCTGGGATCGAGCCCCACATCGGGCTCCCTGCTCAGCACGGAGTTTGCTTCTCCGCCTCCCTCTGCTGCTTCCCCTGCTTGTGCTCTCTCACTTGCGCACGCTCTCTCTCAATTAAAAAAAAAAAGTCTGTTTACATCCCCTGCCCATTTTTTAATTGGGTTGTTTAGTATTTTGCTGTTGAGTTGTATGAGTTGTTTATGTATTTTGGATATTAACCCATTATTAGATATATGATTTACAAATAGTTTCTCTCATCAGGTAGGTGGACTTTTCATTTTGTTGAAAATTTCCTTTGCTCTGAAGAAGCTTTTTAGTTTGATGTAGTCCCACTTGCTTATTTTTAGAGTCAGATCCAAGGAATCATCACCAAGATCAATGTCAAGGAGCCTACCACCTGTGTTTTTCCCTAGGAATTTTATGGTTTCAAGCTTACATTCAAGTCTTTAATCCATTTTGAGTTCATTTGTGTGTGGTGTAAGACAATAGTTCAGTTTCATTCTTTTACATGTGGCTATCAAGTTTTTGTAGCACTATTTATTGAAGAGACTGTCCTTTCCCATTGTATATTCTTGGCTCCTTTGTTGTAAATTAATTGACCATATATACATGGATTTATTTTTGGGCTCTCTATTCTGTTCCATTGATCAATGTGTCCGTTTTGTTTATTTTTTTTTTAAAGATTTATTTATTTATTATAGAGGGGGGAGGAACAGAGGGAGAGAGAGAATCTCAGGCAGACTCCCAACTGAGCATGGAGCCCAATGCTGTGCTAGATCTCACAACCCTGAGATCATGAGATACCTGAACCAAAATCAAGAGTTGGATGCCTAACTAGCTGAGCCACCTACATGCCCCTCAGTGTGTCTATTTCTATGCCAGTATCTTACTGTTTTAATTACTATAGATTTGTAATATAGTTAGCAACCATGGAGCATAATGTCTCTAGCTTTATTCTTCTTTCTCAAGATTGCTTTGGCTATTTGGGGTCTTTTATAGTTCCATGCAAATTTTAGCATTGTTTGCTTTATTTCTGTGAAAAATGCCATTGGAATTTTGACAGGGATTGTATTGAATCTGTAGATTGCTTTGCATATTATGGACATTTAAACAGTATTCTTCCAATCAATGAGTGCAGAATATCTTCCCATTTACTTATATCATTTTCAATTTCTTTCATCAGTGTTTTATAGTTTTCAGTATACAGGTTTTTCAGCTTCTTCATTAAATTTATTTCTAACTATTTTATTCTTTTTGATGCAATTGTAAATGGAATTGTTTTCTTAATTTCTCTTTGTGATAGTTCATTATTAATGTATAGAAGTACACTTGATTTTTATATAGTGATTTTGTATCCTGCAACTTTACTGAATTCATTTCTTCTAACAGGTTTTTTTTGGGGGGGGGTGGAGTTATTGGGTTTTCTATATGTAATATCATGTCATCTGCAATTAGTGACAGTTTTACTTTTTCCTTTCCAATTTGGATGCCTTTTATTTTTTTTTCTTAACCTAATTGCTCTGGCTAGGACTTCCAATTCTATGTTGAATAAAAGTGGTGAGAGTGAGCATCCTTTCTTGTTCCTGATCTTAGAGGAAGAGCTTTTACCTTTTCACCATTGAATATGATATTAGCTGTGGGCTTGTCATATATGGCCTTTACTATGTTGACATATGTTCCCTCTATACCTACTTCCCACTTTGTTCAGTTTTTAATCATAAATGGATGTTGAATTTTCATATATTTTCATGTGTCAGAATACTATTTAGTTTTGAATGCTTTGCTTGAATATCACTTGTTCTGTGAAACTTTTCATTACTCGAACTGAATTTGATTTCCTTTTTTGACAAACAATAGTACTTGGATTTTTCTTGTGGTATCTTTATTATAAACTCCTTGTGAAGGACTGTGTCTCTTATTTGAAGTGCCTATTAGAGTGACTCATTTTAAATAAGCATGAAATTGCATTATCGACTGCTTTGAGGCAATCAATATATGTTTTAAGGAATTGAGAAAGTTTTATATTTATTTTAAAAAGCTATTTTTCACCAGGAGGTGGAGTTTGATTCCCCTTCTCTCCCCCAACACCAAGTTGAGTATGGGTTGTATTTGGAGACTTGCTTTCAAAGGGTAGGGTAAGGCAAGAAGGGGAAAGTATAACTGTACAGTGGAGAAATACAGCAAACACTACCTAGACCAGGTGATCAATAATAACATGAGTGAGAAGTCCTAATGATAGTGTATACTGTGATAAGATGTGATGAAAACATTTCACCTCCTTTGCATTATTCTTCCCCAAAGCCCTAACCCTAGTCAAACCGTGAGAAAAAATATCAGACAAAATCAAATTGATGGACGGTCTACAAATTACCTAATCAGTACTCAAAATTGTCATGGTCTTGAAAAACAAGAAAAGTCTTTGAAACGGTCACACCAGAGGAGATGACACATAATGCCTAAATGTAATGTGGTATCCTGGCTGGGAACCTCAAGCAGAAAAAGGACATTAATGGAAAACTAGTGAAATCTGAATAGAGTGTGAAATTTAGTTAATAGTAATGTGCCAGTGTTGGCTTCTTAGTTGTGACAGATGTATATGGTATTGTAGGATGTTAACGATAGGGGAAATTGGATGAGGGATACTCCTGTGTACTATTTTTTCAACTTTTCTGTAAACCTAAAACTATTTTAAAATTAAGCTTAATAAAAACAATCATAACTTTATAGTTTTTTATTTTTGTTTTAAGACAAGTTGTGCTTTAGTAATGGTTTCTATATCCTGTAAGTGTGAAATTTGTGGCTGAGGTGATGATATTTCTAAATTTGTGGCCATTTGAGATCAAACCTAATGAATTTAGCCACTGTTTAAGCCAAATCTTTAAGACTTAGAATACTCAGTAGACATTATGTGGTAATATATAGAAATAAAAAAATTATTGTAAATAAAGGTTGATTTAAGGATTTTAAAGGTAGAATGCAAGGTAAGTTGTTAGAACTTATTTAATGATGGCAGGACAGTGCTTTAGTCTGCATTTGATACACTAAATGAAACAGTTCCTTATAGAATACTCATTCTTCAGCTATGCTGCTTCTCCCTACTCTATTTCCTTTTTCCTTTTGTGGTTTTAATATAAGAACTATAGTAATCATCAGACAAGCAAAATTTAGCACAACTGCACATCTCTGATGAATGTTGAAATGAGTGGGAGAAAAATATCAGGAAATGGCCTGTGAACATATTCTCATCTTAAGATACTCAGGGAACCTAAGCTTGCAGTTGGTTTGTACTAGCAATGCGATAGTGCTAAGAAAATTGTAATAAAACTACAGTGTCTAGAAGAGAGGAGATGAGAAATCTCCCATATTTCTACTGGAATATTCTTTTTGGTTCTGAACACTTTGTTCAGTTGTTAAATATCTACAAGACTCTGTCAAATGTTTATTGAGTAGACATGGCCCTTGCCTCAAAACTCCAATGGAATTGAATAACATAATCAGCGATATCACCAAATTATTCAAAACTCAAAGCCTAGGAGTCAGCTTTGATTTCTCCCTTTCATTTACAATTTTTAGTGTATTTCTGTATCAGTTAATGTATTAGTTATCTATTGCTGTGTTTCAAATTAGCCTAAGCATTGTGGATTAAAACGATAAGCATTATCTCACACAATTTTTGTGGATCAGGAATCCAAGAACAGCCTGTCTTAGTGTATCTCATGAGGTTGCAGTCAGGATATTGACTGAGGCTGCAGGATCCTCGTCCAAGGTGGCTCGCTTACAAGCTTGGCAAGTTAATACTAGTTGTTGGCAGGAGGTCTCATCCTCAGCTTGTGGATTTCCATTAGGCTGCTGGAGTGTCCTCATGATATGGCAGCTGGCTTCTCCCAAAGTGAGTGATCCAAGAGATGAAGTACCAATGATTTTATGACCTAGTCTGAGAAGTTAACATGGTATCACTTGTTAGAAGTAAGTTATTAATTCCAGCTCACACAAAAAGGAGAGAAATTAAACTCCCTTAAAGGGTGGAATATAAAAATTGGTTGACACAAGTTAAAACTGCCACAGTAAGAATGGGTGAGGTTGTGTTGCAGTTACAAACAATCTAAAATCTTTGTTGCTTAAAACAACAGGTGTTTCTTGTCATGTTCTTGTCCATTTTAGAGACTCAGGCTAATGAGGCCTTCGCCATTTGTAATGTTTCTAGGCAACAGGAAGGGAGATGGGAAGATAGAATCACATACATGTTTTTATAGGCTTACATTCCGAAATGAGAGTCTTCACATTGCCTCATAATACATGGACAAAAGCAAGTTGCATGGCTACACCTAACTTCAAAAGGATAGGGAAATGGAATCCTATGTGCTTAGAAGGATAAGAATCAGAAATATCTGTGAACAGCACTAGTGATTAATGCAGTTGCCATTTTATTACTTTCTGACAATTGTTTTTAGATTTACCTTTTCCTTTCCTATTCTCTATTGTCATAATCTAGGACTAACCTAAGACAATATGTCTGAATTATCTTCCTACTTTTCTAATTCCTCCTTTCCAATCAACTGAGTATATTTTTGAAAGATTAAATTTCCTGAAATACCATTTCTTCAGGTTAGTCACTTGCTACAGAAATTGTAATAGCTTCCTACTGATTATCAGGTCAAATTTCTAATCTCTGGACGTATTGCAATGTATGTTACACTTAGCATGCTCATTCCTAGTTTTGTTCAGGCTACTTTATACCTATATTTCCCATTTTTCCTACCCATCCATTAGGACACATTTAAAAAAAAATTTTTTTTTTTTTTTTTTTTTTTTAAGATTTTGTTTGTCAGAGAGAGAGCACAAGCAGGGGGAGCGGCAGGCAGAGGGAGAAGCAGGCTCCTTGTTGAGCAAGGAGCCCGATGCAGGACTCGATCCCAGGACCCTGGGATCATGCCCTGAGCCTAAGGCAGACACTTAACCGACTGAGCCACCTATATATCCCCACATCTCAGTTCTTAATTATTTTTTACAGGAATCTTTCTTCCAAAATATCAGTGAATATTGGTTTCTTCCCTTTCTTGCCATCCTTAATATTTATTCTTTGTGCCTTTGTTTTTGAAAATTGTTCATCAGTAAATATTTAATGTTCCTACCATATGATTTTCTGCTATATGCTGGGCCCTGATCTTAGTGTTGGGGTGGAAGCAGTAAACAAAACAGACAAAGTTTCTCACTCATGGAGTTTATATTTTAGTGGTACAAAACAGACATAAATAAGAATATTAGAGTTAGAGGAGCAGAACTGCTAGGATATTGATAGCAATATTGATATATCTCGTGTAAGGTCAATCACAGCTGTCATGTGGAGGAAGCAAGGAAACCTGGCAACTGCAAGGATGAACTGGAATCCATGAGAATGGAGTGGAATCTGCATTGATTTCTCCCTGGTTCCAAGGGTTCAACTTTGATGAGAGAGGTGATCTGCAGGAGGAGCTGGTCCTTCGTCACAGACCCATGAGTTACAGAAGTTGAAACGGGATCTGTCAGGAGTTGAAGAAGGTACAGACCTGGCTGCAGCCCCACACAGACAAAATGAGCTAGCAGATTATGTGACAACTTGCATAATCCGTAACATTGCCTCATGCCCTGAACTCACCTTCCAAGTATGAAAGTATATGCCTGCTGTTTCATTTCCAGCTACTAGGCAAAATGTCTCCTGTGGCCCATGCTAACCTGGAACTATTCAGGCAAGGAAATGGAACTATAGTACTAGCTTAGCTAAGTTAACAAAATAGAAATCAACCACAATAAGTAAATTCTATGAAAATTTAGAGTCAGTAAGTGCTATGGAGACAAAGAAAGGGATGAGAAATGTTTTCAGTGAGGATAGGAATTACAATTTTTTTAAAAAAGCATTCAGGACAGATCTCCTTGAGAAGGTGCCATTAGGTCAAAAAGACTTGAAGAAGGTGAAGGATAAAACATGCTGATACCTGGGAGAAGAATATATATATATATTTGAGGATTTATTTATTTTAGAGAGAGCATGAGTGGGGGAAGGGGCAGAGGGAGAGAGAGAATCTCAAGCAGACTCCGAGCTGAGCATGGAGCCTGATGTGGAGCTCAACCTCACCCACCCTAAGATCACCACTTGAGCCAAAACCAGGATTCGGACACTCAACCAACTGAGCCACAGGTTCCCTGGAAGAAGAATATTCTAAGTATCCAGTGCTTCTGAGTGGCACCATACCTGCTGTGGTAGACAGCCTTTTATAAGACTCCCAATGATCGCCACATTGTGTTACTCCCTCTTTTATGTAATTCCCTTCCCTTGAGTGGCAAAGTGATGAGATGTCACTTCTGAGATTATGTTATAAAAGACTGACTTGTTTCTTGCTACCATTCCTTCCCTTGTCTTTTTGAATTTGGATTGCTTGCTCTGATGAAGCAAGCTGCTATATTGGAGAGGCCTATGTGGCAAGGAACAGATGGCCAACATCCAGTAAGGAACCTAGGCTGTCAGACCAATAGCCCCTGAGGAACTGAATGTTGTCAACAACCATGTAAGTGAGATTGGAAGTGGATCTTTAACCATTTGAGCTTTGAGATAACTACAGCCCCAGATGTTGATTGCAGTGCAGTTCTGTGAGACACTGAAGCAGAGAATCCAGCTAAACCAGATAATGTTTTAAGTGAGTACATTTAGGCGTAGTTTGTTATTCAGCAATTAACAACTCATTTACATGGCATGTTCAAGGAACAAAAATGAGACTGACTGGAGTGGGGTAACCAACTAGCAAGTGAAGTTAGAAAGGTTATAGGTTTCCTAGGGCCTTACGAGGCATTAAATGATTTTTAGTTTTTGTTTGTTTTTTTGGAGTAAACTTGGTAGCTTTTGGAGAGTTTTGAATAAAGGAGGGACATTTACATGTTAGGATTTACATATTTTTTTCTCAAAGCTCTATTAAGAAGACACAGTGGGATAGGGTTTGAGCAGGGAAACCAGTTAGGCTAGTGCAATGATACAGATGAGAGAATGGTGATGAGAGGGAGTGATCCCAGTAGAGGAAATTCAGTTCTGGATATATTTTATAATAGAGTTGACAGAATTTGATGATTGGTATAGATTGTAAGAGAAATGGATATAGAATATGAGAAAAATAGCTCAAAGGTTTTTTTGAATATTTGCTAAGATGGGGATGACTTCAGGAATGGGTTTTGGGGAAGTAATACTCAGGAGCACAGTTTTGTACATGTTAAGTTTGAGATACCTTTTAGACATCTGAATAGAATTTTGGAGTAGGGAATTTAATGTATGAGTGTGGAGATCTGGTGAGAGGTCTGGGCTGGGAGCTGTCAAAGTGTAAAAGGCACTTAAAGCCATGAGATTGGATGCTAATAACACAGGATTAAAGGGTAGATAGAAAATAGGATCAAAGACTGAGCCCTTGTGTATTCTAAACATTTATCTACTGGGAAAAGTAGCAGGAACCAGCAAAGGATATTGAGAAGTGAGGTAGGGAGGAGAGCCATTGGAGTGTGGTATCCTGAAAGTCAAGAAGAAAGTTTTTCAAATAAGATAGAGTGATCAACTGTTCATCGTATAAGTAAGATGGAAGTTGAGAAATCACCATTGGATTTGGCAATATGGAGGTCATTTGGGACCTTGTTGAGAACAACTCCATAGAGAATGGGAAGAGAATTGGAGACCATGGATTTGGGTAACCCATTTGCAGAGTTATGCTAGAAAAGGGAAAAGAAACAGGACAGTATCTGGAGAGGGATGTGGGATCAAGAGTGGATTATTTTTTTTTTCTGGAGTTGTCACAATCCCAGATTTCAAGATATACTACAAAGCTATAGTAATTAAAACAGTATGGTACTGGCACAAAAAGAGACACATAGATTAATAGGACAGAACAGAGTTCAGAAATAAACTCACACTTTTATGGTCAATTAATCTTAGACAAAGGAGGCAAGATGTACAATGGGAAAAAGACAGTCTTTTCAGTAAATGGTGCTGAGAATACTGGACTACTTTCTTACACCATACACAAAAATAAATTCAAAATCGATTGAAGACCTAAATGTGAGAGCTGAAACCATAAAACTCCTAGAAGAAAACATAGACAGTAATTCTTTTGACCATAGAAACACTTTTCTAAATATGTCTCCTCAGGCAAGGGCAACAAAAGTAAGATTAAAGTATTGGGACCATACCAAAATAAGAAGCTTTTGCATAGTGAAGGAAACCACCGACAAAACAAAAAGGCAACCTACTGAATAGGAAAAGATATTTGCAAATGATCTATCTGAATAGGGGTAAATATCCAAAATATGTAAAGAATTTATACAATTCAATGCCAAAAAAACCCCCAGGTAATCCCATAAAAAATGGGCAGAGGACCTGAATAGACATTTGTCCAAAGAAGACATGCAGATGGCCAACAGACACACGAAGAGATACTCAACATCACTAATCATCAGAGAAATGCAAATTAAAGTCACAATGATACATTACCTCACACCTGTCAGAATGGCTAAAATAAAAAATGCAAGAAATAACAAGTGTTGGTGAAGATGTGAAGAAAAAGGAACCCTTGTGCTCTGTTGGTGGGAAGGCAAATTGGTGCAGCCATTGTGAAAAGCAGTATGGAAGTTCCTCAAAAAATTAAAAATGGAATTACCATATGATCTAGTAATTCCACTACTGGGCATTAACCCATAAGAAATAAAAACACTAATTCAAAAAGATAATATGCACCCCTGTTTACTGCAGCATTATTTACAATAGCTAAAATATGAAAAGCAACCCGTGTTCATCAATAGATGAATGGTTAAAGAAGAGGTGGTATAAATATACAATGGAGTGTTACTCAGCCATAAAAGAACGAAATCTTGCCATTATCAACAACATGGGTGGGTCTACAGGGTATAATACTAAGTGCAATGAGTCAGACAGAGCAAGACAAAAACCATTTGATTTCAATGATATGTGGAGTTTAAGAAACAAAACAAGTAAACAAAGAAAAAAGACAAGCCAAAAAACAGACTCTTAAATAGGGAAGACAAACTGGTGGTTGCCAGAAGGGATGTTGGTGGGGGATGGGTGAAATAAATAAAGGGGATTTTGAGTACATTTATCTTGATGAGTACTGAGAAATGTATAGAATTGTATATCATTATATTGTATACCTGAAACTAATATAACATATGTTAATTATACTTGAATTTTAAACAAAGAGACGAGTGGATTATTTCTTAAGCATGGGAAAACGTAAAGCATGTTTGTATTCTGATGGGAAAGATCCAGTGGAAATGGACAACTGGTGGTGTAGGAGAGTTTTGGTGAATTTCTTATGCAATTGCTTGTGGGATCTTACACACAAAGTAGGATTTGGCCTATGATGGTGGTTCAAGCAGTTCATCTACAGAAACAGGAGTATATGGGCATAGATGCTGGTAGGTGAGTGATGTGGTGGTGTGAACTTTTGAATATTCTCTTTTATTAATATCCCCACAGTAATAGAAAGTTAAGGTCATCAACTGAGAAGTTGCGGGGAGGGAGTGTTGGATATTTGAGGAAAGTGGAGAAGGTATGTATAGGTAGGAGATAGTGTGAGTAGACTAGGAAATGTAGGATTCCTGGGCCACATTCAGGAGCCACTTGAGTTCTCATAATGAATTTAAGTTCGTTTAAATTAAAATATTAGCGTGATTGTAGATTTTCTCCACACCAAGCTTGGCTGCATAGGTATAGTTGTTAAGCTGATGAGTTGGAACTAACTAAGATTGAGGTTTGCCAAGAAAGTAAACAAGGTGAGTGGTGGGAAGGGGAATGTATGTAGGGAGGGGTCATATTGATTTGCCATGGAATTTAAACTAGATAAGGAGCCATGATAACACATTAGAATAGTGGGGACACTGAAAATGTGAGTCGGATTAATGAATTTTGAGGTAATGGTGGGTCAAAGGGATTTTGGAGCTTTGGGTACTAGAGTAAATGACTCCATGAAACATCTATAATGTATATATTTATTGGGAAGTTTAGCAAGCAACATACTGAGCCCTTTATTGTTTAACATGACCAGTTGTGGAATTGCCCAGTTGTTCTCTGATCTTAAATTGGCCTTCATCACCTCAAGAGTGATTGCTTAGCTTGATTGTAGAAATGCACATGTCAGTGAGAAGTTGTACACATATTTCATTAAATATTTAAAATCTCAAAAGCCCAACTTTTTCTTTCTTCCCTTCACAGGTGGCTTGTGATCCTTGATCTTTGGTTTAATCTATTTACTAATGAGGCCTTTTTTTGGGGGGCTTGCATGCATTTATGCAAAAGAAGATGATTTATGTAATAATATAGCAATATAGTACATTAAAATGGAAGGTCTTATTACTGTTTTAGAGTATAAACTATATTTGTAAAATAGCTAATGCAAGCTATACTACACATATTAAAGCAATTTGAAAATTTAATAATCACTTGCTAAAATTCTGTTTTTATTTTCTCCTATAATACACTTCATAGATGTTTCATGATGTCAGTTACTTTAGTA